GAAAGCTTTCTGCCTAATCGAGCGCGAATAAGGGAAACGATTCCTCGTATCGACGGTCACGCAACGCCGCTTAATCAACCAGCGATCGCTGTATAATTCATCGGCTGCATTCGTTTGGGAATGGAAATTAGATCGAGCACAGTTCGTTTCGTTGCAGAGATCCGATGGGATTAGGTTCGTGATCGTGTATTCGCGAACGAGGGCCCAGATGTGGGCCACGGATACGCTGAACACCTTAACCCATTAATCCTGAAATCCCACCCCTCGAGGAGCGCGCTTAACGCTTGTAAACAGAAGGATTTATCGAGGCTGTAGTTCGTAACTGCATAGCCTAACGACTATATTTTTGCTCAGGTGATTAACTGCCGCTCGTGAGGAGTCTAAGTAACCTAGGGGGGAGGATGAGTTAGGCTTGAGCCTGGTCTTACGGTACCGTCACCTGGGGTCTTCGAAACGGTTCGTTGAAGAGTTTTTTAAATTAGGAGATTATTAACTTGAGAGGTTGTTCCTTGTTAGCAGTGAGGTTCATTGAAGAGTTTGCATTAGGTGATTGTTGACTTGGCAAGTTACTCCTTTTTAGCAGTATAATTATATTTACCCCTTTTCACAGAATAATGTTGTCCTTCGACATTCTTTCTCTATGATTATAAACAAGGCGTGATAAACTGCACGGTTGTTGCCTTCAACAATCGCGATACGCGGCGATAGGTTAATTTTTTGGGGCCGTCCCCCGGTCGAGGTTGCCGTTGTTGCTCATTAAGACTGTAAATCATTAGCCACCTGGCAAAGGAGTATAGCGTCGGTGACGCGGTAATAACAGTATTGGTAAGTAATAACCCGGTTCAACTAGCTGCGGCATAGCGTAGATAGCTAGTAATGCGGTAGTGGCACCGTTTCGTTGTAAAGCAGCCTTAAGGTGTGCTCACAGCGTCTGGTTACGTGAGCATTCTCGCTCGATAGCGGGGAACGGTTATGTCTTCGGTGGCCGCGTCGTATTGATTCGCCTGGAATTATGCCCGTCGTCGTTCGATACCGTTCTGCTGCGATAAAAATAATCATCTCGATGGTAATCGCGATCGCAGCGACGATGGGAACGTTAATAGTCGGGCGAGATCGAAATCTGAGCTGACGCCACTCGTGCTTCCATTTTCCTGGGGGAAAAAATAGGTCGATCGCCGCTGATAATTTATATACCGGCTGGTTTGAAAAGTTGTGGCTGGAACAAAGTGTCAATCGTAACTAACAAGAGTTCTAGAATTACTCTAGTTAGTATAGAAATGTTGTACAGAGAAGGGGGCACGAGTGTGTGGCTGTGAAGCTTCCTTAAAATTGCAAGTGATTACTGTTTGGAGTAAGAATGAATTCTCGACTATTCATCTTAGAGAAAAGTTTCATAAAACTTTCCTGCTCCTTTTATCGAGATCTCCATGGCAGTATGAATATTTTATTAAGAAATGTTTATCCTACGTTTATAATGTATGTTAAAAAAACAGACCTCTTCTTTAGATTCAGGGAGCCAGAAAGGCATGAAACGGTGAGAATGTGGGTTGGATTTCGATGGTTGGTCGCGTGGTGAGTTAATTATGCACGAGCTACTTTCGCGTCTAGAAGGAGCGTTTAGACGGCCGCCTTTAAGCCTGTTCTGGTAGGCTGTTAGTGACAGTGATCCAGCGCGAGGCATAAAACAGTCCGAGTCCTTGCCGCAGCCTTGCGTTTTCTCCTTGAGGCTTGAATTCTATTTAAATACACGGCATACTACGCGGGTACAGCAGTGGGGGCCGTAGAACTCGCGGCATTTCTACGTTCTTTCTGCGTTGCTTTCAGCGTCTCTTTCTCTCGATTCAACGACACCGTCTCTGTGGCCAACCGGAAGATCCGAAAGGTCTTCCGGTATTAGCGTGACTCGAGACGACTTCGATCCCGACTCGAGACGTTTTATTGTTGGTCCATTTCTTTCTGATTATTTTTCGTCGCCATTGTTACGACAGGAAGGAAGGAAGGATTACCGTAATCCAAATTGTAGCTCGATATGGATGTCTCTGTTAATTTTCAATTTTCCATCTATGTGTCTTTTTTTAAACTGTTTTCGTTAAAAACAAGAGTGGACACGGTGATTCTATTTCAGTGTCTTTATTAAGCAAATGTACCGGAGCATATACGCGAAGATAAAAGCAAATAAAACAAGAAATACCAAAGGTCGCGATACGTAAAGCGCAGTAAAAACGGTTATAAAACGTCACCATTGTCTAATGTAGCATGGTGTGATCTTATTGACTATTCATAAGCCAGTTTTTCACACCTCGCGGTGACTCATTATAATTATCAATCTTGTTGGGAGTAAGTTCCAATATTTTCCACAGGATTTTCCGTAAACAATTGATAAGGAACGGTGAGCGATTGCATAATTAAAATTGTGACTCGAAAATAAAATTATACGGGACAAGTGTTTACTTTTATATACTGATAACATAGATGAATTTATATTCGTGAAACGGACGGAGTATGCTTTTTTTAGCGACTACAAGTAGAAGTTACTGTCCTTTGTATTCGCAAACTGACTTCTCTTCGTACGCGTAATGACAATGATCGTAGTCGTTGCGAAACGAAAGTCTATACACAATACGGAAGAACATAAGTCGAAGGAGAAAACGAGAGGATAAGTATACACTTATGTCGGGAGGTGTGATTATTTGCTGAGTGGATGTGCAAAGTTTTCCAAACTTCGTGCACTTTCATTTCCAATACTCAACCATTCAAATACTCATCTGCTCCAATACTCAACCACTCAAATACTCACCTGTCCCAATACTCAGCTACTTCAACACTCAACATCTCCACCAGTACTCAAACTACTTTCATCCAACACTCCAATCACTTTGGCCTCAAAAAGAGTGAGTAACTCTGGCAGAATGTTAAGTGGTCCCCGATCGGACGCTTATCAATAATCGCGATGGGTTTACGAGAGCGCTGTTAACGCGCCAGAATAGTTAGAGACAAAGAAACGCGCGATTCTGGCTCGCCTTGGCGCGGAGCCCGCGGAGTTCCTGTTCCCTCTTCAAGGTCCTTCGGCGTCCGGTCGCCGGCGTCGTGAGTCAAAGGAGTCAACGCGCTCGCAGCAGCTGGCCCTCGTGTTTTTCCGTCGTCCATGTTATTCTCGCGAATTATTCACCCTGGGACATTGTTCGCGATGACCCGCTGCACTCTCAGGGCCACCAGAGGCTCGACGATCGGAAGATAAAATGCTTGGCTCGTTTCCTCAGGGCAACCGGCGACGAAAGGGGGTGGAAACATCTTTTCTTCCCTTGAGACCTCGAACACCCCCACCACTTGTCCAAAGATACTCATGCCACTTCCTCAAAGATGTTCCATTACTTCTTGATCTTGATGAGACTTCAAAGGTCGAACCCCTCCCATGAGTTTCTTCGAGCTCTGTTTAAAAATATAACGATGTTTTCTCGTTTTTCTGTGGTGAAAGTCATCACCAGAAACGATTACTCGCAACACCCTGAAAACGATAATATTACCGTAAAAGTTTTTAGCGTTCTCCATGTTTGAGAATCGCAACTGTGAAAATATACCTGTAGGGAAAATAGACAAGAGTCGCGAAAACGTTCTTGGAAGTGACGGAAGTGAACGGAGCGATCACGTGTCGGATACGTAAACAGGCTGCTGGAAACCTGGTCCAGGGTTAGGTCCGTCGAATATGGTGATTCTCGAGCGGGAACTGCCAGGGTGATCGTTAATAAAAGGCTCGTCGTGATTTTAAATCGTTTGACCTCCGATTTCCCACTTCCTGGTGCGTGATTCAGGCCAGAGTTGGAGTATCTGAAATATAAATCAGAAGTGACTGCTTGAAATAATATTTCAGGCTCCTGTTTATCAAATGCTTCAGAGTCCAAACAGTCAAGTATTCAAATAGTAAACTCTTTAAATACTCAAGCATTTCAAAAGTCAAACCCTTTAAGTGCTCGAGCATTTCAATAACAAACTCTTTAAACACTCAAGTAATCAAACAGTAAAAATAACTCGAATACCCAAACGTTCCAACAGTATTCGTATACTTCATCGTTTCAAACATGGATACACTGTATCGAAAGTTATTCCTTGAACCGAAACATCGTGATTACGTTTCAAGGATGAAGTAACCGCGACAGAAGATAACACACCGTTCGAAATAACATTTCAAAAGTGTTGGCGAATAGGTAAACATCAACAAGCGCGATCACGATTCCAAGAATCCGCGCATGATTTGCGCTTGACGATTTCGAGCGACACGCAGCGTTGTCGCGAATAACAAGTCTCCATTTTCGTTTCAGATCGGCGTGACGAAATTTCAGCGCCTGTTTGAGTCGTATCCGAGCGGGAAACATGAAGCGATTACTGTTGGATGCTGAGCAACGCCTGAAGTTCGCGTACAGCAGTTGAACAGTCTGGAAATTGGAGATATGCCTGGAAAATGCCTGAGCTCGACCTCCTGGTGGGTATTTAACTCTAGGTAGAATTTTTAGAAGAAAACTGCATGCTTTTCTCCTCACGGCCATCTTGAAACTACTACGCGTCATCATCCGACGCTTGGAAAAAGAATTGCACTCTCCACCATAAATATTCATTTCATAGAAAAGTAGTATAATACTTTTCTGCTCCTTTTATCCTAATCTTAAAACTACAATCTATCAGAATCCTCAAGTAACGAATCCCTCGCGAATAGAGCTCTTCAGAGCTCTATCTATCTTCTATCATTAACACAAAGTGCTCGAAGGAGCCCTGAAGTTAAAGTCACTGCGAGACATAGGTACCTAAAGTGGATCCTGAAATACGTTCTCATGGTTGCCTTTTACAGAGACTTCATCAGCAGACTCGAGACCGACGGCCCAACACGGACGTATCAGCCGGTTCCATCGAATAATAGCGGCGAGAAGGTCTGGCGTGATTTAACGAGGAGGTATGCCAACGCGACCTCCGTGCTCGACTTCCCGGTACGTGAGTCAGGATTTCAGGAATCGGCAGCCACCTCGAGGATGAGCGCTAAGATATCCCTGGCTGGCCGGACCGCGGCGCAGTCAGCGGTGAACCATCGTGGTAAACCATCGGGGCTGCTGCTCGCCGGAACGTCCGTGAAGAGACCGTCTTCGATGAGTAAGTTCGCTGAGAGTATCTTCGTCGAGGTCCACACGTAGACGTGTGTCATTAAGCAGTCTGGGGAATACCGTGTCGACTATGATTGGACATAGACTTCTTGGATGGTGGCAAGCTTGGTTAGGAGTATTAGTGGTTGATAGGGTGATTTGTGATAGGAATTGTTGATATTGATATACCTTGAGATGTTCACTTCTTGGAGCACTGGAAGTGTTGTGGGAAGAGAATATGTTGATAGAGTGGTGATTAAGCGATGGATCTAGTCTATTAGTTGAGTAGTTTATCTTTGAATTGGAATTGTTTCTTCACCCTTTCTACATCGAGACCATTCACTTCAGAGACACAATCTTTTTGTATTCTACAGTGTGTATATTTTACAATTGAAGTGGAATTGTTTGCCAACCTTGGCACGTATCGAGACATTCACTTTTGGAATCAGTCCTCGTGCTTTTATCTTTGAAAACAGTTTCAGAGTGCCTAGATAGACGATCGTGTTGACAAAATTGTAGAAAACAAGATAATGTTTACGCATCGAGTCATTTGTCCGGGTGTCACACTTCTGTCATTGTTTAGATGATGGTTTCCAACTTTATTATGATCCTCTTTCCTCCCGAAGGACGCAGCAGAACGCATTGTAATTTATAGCACAGATGTTGTTCAAGTCGGTCGTTCACCTGCCAACAGGGTCTCATTCGTTGTTGCAACAAAGATTGCGAAACTCTGCAGTTCGAGTGTCATCAGACACCTCTCCTGTCGTCGTTCCGAAACTTCACGCGAATACAATATTTGTGAAGTAGAAGTAGACTTATAAAGACAGACAAACATTCTTCATCGATACCTAGCTCATGACATCAAGACCAATATCTTATCTCGGTGATGATTGAACATATATTCCTACTGTATGCGATCTTTCCAGTTTAGAATGACCTGGCAAGCGATTGGAAGCCTTCTCGATTGCCTCACGGTGCACTCCATATCACTCTCAAAGTATCAGCGAGTGGACATTCACAGTCATCGCAACACGTCACCGTCTTGCAATGAGTATCTCTCGATCGAGTCATTGATATTTAAAGTAAATACGAAATCCTCGTTGGACAAGATGACGCCAGTGGCTGCTACGAGACCTAGAAAATAAAGTCCCAGGTTCAAAGGGTGATGTCAATCACGGGATGGAGAAACTGGAACGCCAGACGTTATCACCGGAGGCAGAAGCGTGTACGAACACCGACGTCTCTGTATCTTCGCCTCGATCGCGGTTAACGCTGACAGTGAATAGCAGGATGATAAATAATCAATGGTCTGGGACCACGTGACCCAAACTATTGTGCCATAACACTAGAATAGGAATTCCAAATCCCAGAAACGTTTATGTAACCGCGGCTCGGAATAATTCTCGATCCTTTTCGTGTTCAAGCCTGAACATTTGCTCCTCACGTGCAAGGTGAGCTGGAGCGTTGATTCAGCTTCTCTCGAGGTCGTACTCTTGTCGAAAAGTTTCGTTTCACGGTTGCTATTTGGTTGCAGTCACACTCCATCGTCGAATAAGCAATTGCTGACTTTGACGCGGAAGTTAGGCCACCGCATTCCACGCTCGCGTCGAATCGCGCAGCGTAAGCAACACGGAGTCCTTTTGAAGTGCAGGTAGCGTTACAGTTCTAGGAAAAGGTCGAAACAGTTGTATTACGATAGGTAAAAGAGTGCGTGATAGGGAATTTATCGATCAGTAAAAATATAGACTCGGAGATATTGAGTAGGTTAGGATGAATCTTATCTTCAAGGGAATCGTAGTGACTTAGAGCATTTCCTGTGTGTTTATGTCGAGACGTTGATTTCTAACGACTTAAATTCGTGCCAAACAAGACCTCGTTGGTTTAATTTGTTTCGAGATTCTCGGACAGTTGCGCACCTGGCTTGATCCAATTAGTTAGGCTAGTGTCCAAGAATCCCAAGACAATACACCGAGGAGTGTGAATTGGAAATCTGCCCTATCCTACGTTTAAATCTCTTTCAACGCGAGTAATTAATCTAAATAGCATTTGAGTAGCCAAGTAGTCAAATAGTGAATCGAATTCGAACAATCCAGTATTCGAATTCTTCTTCCACCTCGATGACTTGAACATTCGAACGTAGAAAAATTCGTCAACTTCCTGCGTTGATTAAGAGTCGGTAACTTCGGAGTTCCCCCGCGACTCCCCCTCAAAGGCCACCTGCTTCGCGTCCAGTCCCATTGCGCGAAATTTTGCAACCCGTCAGCCTAATAGCATACGATGCGCCGCTGCTTAATGACACACCATACACGTCACGAGATACGCGTCAACGAAGAATCCGTTCATTAGCGGTAGAGGTGACTGGCACCGAGGAAAGAGTCGTCAAACGAGCCGCTGTCCCAGAACTGGAAGCATCGTCCAACTCGTCGCGACCTAGCACGTTGTCTGAGAGAGATAACACCATGCCAACCTTAGCACGCGCCTGCACTACTGCCACTCTGCCAAGGATCAAGAGATTCAAATTCGCGTCGATCGGTAAGTACTTTATCTTCTTCCCTTCCCTTCACCCTCGCTAAATCCTTTCTTTCTCGAGAATTTTACGTCGCGATGCATTCCCGTTTGTTTTGCGATAAAGCTATTTGCTCGAGGAAGATTCTGCGCGGAATTGCCGTTGCGCATACAGATACGAGCCTTATGCAAATGCTGGAAGATGATTCTGCGCGAAAAAGTACATCGAAGACATGGAATAACTTTTCCTGGTACGAGGCTTCGTTTTGGAGAACATGGAGTTTGAATATGGATGGTGCATATTCAAACCCCATGTTCTCCAAAACGAACGCTCCCGCGAGAAAACTTTATTTTACGTTTTCGATCTATTTTTGTATGCACAATCATTTACTATTGTATTTATTAGTCAAACGGGTATGATAACATTGAAAGGTGTCTCGTGACGCGATAAACTTTACACCGTAGCACGACGTTGTATAAAGTCGCGGGTTTCTTTGTGCATTTTGCAGTTTCTTTTTGGACACGAATTCTACAAGTCCGAGTCCCATTCTCGGACCATATCTGTAATGGTCCAACGTCGATCGAGATCGGGCCCGCCCGGGGCCGTATTCGCTCGTCGATCGAGACGGCGCTTGTCGTAATGAAACTCAGACGCGACTCGAATACGTAATTACCGCGGAAATAGTATTACGAGCGGGCCTGGTCAACGGCATAAATATAAATACCGGCGGTTGTCGCTTGGGCAAGTAAGCCTAACCAACGTCGCGCGACACGCAGAATCGGTGAGTCAAATTGTGTGTGACGCCACTCCAGTTCGAGAACCACTTTCTATCCGGCCAACGCTCGCGGGACACGACATTCCTCTGTCTTTCATGGCGACGAATGCACCGTCGTTTCCCTTAGAATAAAAAAAAAAAAAAAAAAAAAACAAATGAATCGATCCTCGTAGGAAAAATCTGATTAGGCTAAGCAGATTTTGAGATAGGGAACGATCGAGTACGATCGTTTTCGGAGCGATCGTATCGGGACGTGTCGCGATGGAGCAATTCCACTTGAGGTATCGAGCGCAGCTTCGGTTTCCTGTTGCTGCAATGTTTTGTAACACCTTGCGGGGACTCGAGCAGGTTCCCTTGGAGAGGCCATATTCGAGCCATTACAGTAATTAATTAATGGGAGGAATTTAGGCGTTTCGAAATTTCAGGTATAGGTATAGGTTGTTCTGTCAATGCATGCACTGATGGATATGAATCGAGGCTGGGAGTAGTTGAATGTTTCGTAGACATTGGATTCTGCTCGATTGATCAAATACTATTCGAATAGTCAAGTACTCAAGCAATATTTGAATAATCGTGTACTCGAATCGTAATAGAATAATTAAGTATTCACACAGTATTTGAGTAGTTAAGAATCTAGTACTCCACGTTCAATTTACACAACAGACTAAACCCTAAAGTATACAACAATAAACATTACCGAGGTTTACTTACGACCGTGAAGAACCAAAAAATACCGAACCAAAAAAGATTGCTCGCCTAAATAACCAATACTTAAATTTCCCTCGAGGTCTGCCGCGAATCTTCTAGATTTATCCTCCTCTGACGAAGCAAACGCGAACCAGGTTCACAGAACCCAAGTGTCCGACTTTCGAGGACGCCTTCCATTAGGAAAATCATGTCGATTCATCGCCGCGATTTCTTTTTCCAGCGATGCTCGCGGTTCGTGCGCACCACCACAAATCTGGCCTTTATCTGTACACCAAGTGACGTCAGATTGATAGCACAAAGACGCGTGTTTGCTCGTGGGTACGCGTCTGTATACCGTGCGTTATCAATATAGCGGCAAGTGTTACGAGCTACCATAAGCCTTGAGCATCTGAGCCTGTGTAAATCGCAGTCGCTTGATATACGCGACAAACAAGACTCGGTGCTTCTTCGCGAAATTGAGAAAATGAAAGAACTCGTCTCGTCGAGCGAGGTCCCGATGACATTTCTTCGGTGAATCAATTGAAGGATATTCTCGTAAGACGTCTATTTCACAACACAACCTTTCGATGGTCCACGCCTCTGTCTGCCATTTTCTTCTATTTTGGCGGAGACGTCGCGCGCGTGATGGCGCGTTGGCCGGGTGCATTGGAAGATGTCAATTGAGACAGTTCTAACAGGCAACGTAAACCTTCCGCGTGTAGAGACATCGTGCAAGCATGTTTATCGCTCGTTCGACCCGAGTGATGCTTCTGTGTATGATGTCAGAGTCTATCTTTGGCGCGGAGTGGATGACCACGCGCGAACGAGCTACGCGCATCTGCGGACACGCGCGGAAATCTTCGCTGAAATTCGACTTGTTCGATTTGGGTTAGTCAAGTACCCGAATCGTAGCTGAATAGTCAAATACCGAAATCGTGGCCGAATAGTATTCAGACACTTGAACCAACACCTTCCACTTCACCTAAAGGCTCTTTATTTATTCCTCCATTTTTCCATTACTATTCCAGTCACTCTTTTCTTACTCCTCTACGACTTGTCCCTCGAAGTTTGCTTCGTCATCGTGCTTTTCCTAGCTTGTAATTTCACTTTTACGTTCGCGTGCCTCTCGTTTTTTCGTGGGATTAAAATAGAACGGCCATCGACGCGCGATTTTATATTCCGAATCGATAATGGAAGGCTACGATTCGAGTCGAGTATTACCAGCGTCGGGACGGCCGATAAATCGTTTGCCACGGTGTCACCGTGTACATTCATATTTATTTAACGAGCGGACGAAAATAGACAACTCTAGGTTGCGCGTATTGCTTGTCTACGATAGCGTTTTCCAAACTCTGTTTCGTGAAAAACGAGGCTTCCAACAATTAACAACAAAACAAAAAAAAAGGGAATATACAAGTCAGGTTACAAAGATTTTTTAATTGATAAAATGAATAAATTTACAAATCAAACTACTGAATTTTGGGGAGAAAGGAATTTATCATTCTTCAAGCGGAAAAATCAAGTATGGATTCCATAAATATATGTTCGGAAAGAAACAGTCAGTGACTGAACAACTTTTGGATAGCATTTCTCCGTACTCGAATTTGCTAAATTTTGCTTCGATTCGAATTCGCGGTATTTTCACGCGTCTCTTTTTTCTTTTTTCATTCGGGGCACAAACACCCCGATACCGCCAATCTTATCCAAGTCTGGTCGATTGGGAATCTGTGAGTGCATCGATTAGCTGACAAGGGAAAAAGTAAAACTCATTGATCGATTAGCCACGGTTGGGGAAAAACAGACCAGATTCGGTAGGAAACGATAAATCGAGTGTAACAATTCGATGGTCGCGATATCGTGGGAATCTGATACGCGATATTGTTTCAATTCTTCCTTGTTTTATTTTTGTGTGCAACAGAGACGCGGAACGATAACAAAAACAGGTAATTTCACGCGATGGAGTAGCTTTTCGGAAATTTCTGTAGAAAATCCAATGCAGTTTTTGTATACGTTCACCTGAAAAAACAATTTACGTCTGCGCACCGTTAACCCGCGATTCGGAGGAATATCTCGCGTTCAATGAAACGGAATTTCCTCTGAATCGTGAATGTTCTCATTTGCATGCAAATTTTGAATAAGGAATAAAAAAGAAAACAGCAACTTTGCGAACACTACTTCTTCCCTAAAAATTAAAATTTAAATCGGAGAATTCCAAAGGAAGTAATACAAATATGTCTGAATAATTCATTCGAATGAAATGTTCATCATTGTTACAGTTGTGCGTAATGTTTCCCACCACGATGAGTGAAATTAAAACTAATGTAAAAAGTGAAAAGTTCGGTGGCAGAAGTGAAGGCAAACTGGTTCCCTCGGATTTGTAATTTTTTATCAGCCGATTGCAAGAATTCATCGGAATCATTACCGCGGTTATTTAATAACCCAATCATCGTAACGCATGGTCGAAGAATGTCGTGAAATTAATAGCAAAGTACACCATTTTAAAAAAACGCAACGCGGATAATTGCACGAACGCGCAAGAAATTTCTAGTCGGGAAATATCGTTCGGTAGCCAAGCGTATGATGAATTATTCATGGTCGCGCGTTCATAAAAATCGCATGCAATGACGAAAAAAGGGGGGGGGGGAAAGAGAAGACACGATGGACGATAATACCGGAGTATCGACAGCGCAATACGCCGATCGATCGGGCGAACAGTCGATCCTCGTTTGTGGCAAAACTAAAAATTAATCCTTTGAGTCATGATGCACCTTTTCTAGTTCAACTTTAATTATTTCAACTAGTTTCTTAGACTCTAACGACAATCTTTTATTTTTGTACAAATTTTAGTAAATTCTAGAGTACGCTTAAGAATTTGTTCAGATTTTTCCATGAATTTGTTCCCTTGTTATAAATATTCGCAATCAGCGATGGAGGGAATTCGTGGTTCAAAGCGATAATCGGAACTACGCCGTCGATTCTCGAGAATACGTTTAAATCGTCTTGTGAACTTTCACCGAATCATAAAACCAGACGAGAACGAGAAGGCAGGTGACGCCATCGATAACATCGGCAATTATTGCTCTTCCTGTCCGCGGAAATTTCGCGGAATTTGGTCGATGAAGCTCGACAGACATAAACAATAACGATAATGGTAACGATACGTCTTAATCAATGTTGTAGTACATTACGATACAAATTCAAGAATTAAACGAAACTTGTTTTATACATTTAATGATTTAATTTAAGTTGAAGTAAATGTACATATGTATGTATATATATGTAGCTCGCTATATCTTCCAGGAATAGATAGCATGAAATGCATAATCTAAGACATCTAAATTATTTTTAAAAGAAATAAGTTTCCATTGATACTTCATATTTATTAGTTCGAAGACTTTTAGAGTCAGTATGAGGGGCGACTTAAAGAACTGAAGATAGGGATTGGCCACAGATCCTTCCTAAGGGAAGGTTTATAAAATTTGCATGCTTTAATGGCCCCTTTCCCATTATGATACCTTCTTACAACACGCAATAATGTAATTTTTCTCTCATAGACTCCATAAA